GATGCGTAGAATGCAGAAAATTACCGCGGTCACCGAGCAGTTGAAGTCCAAAAGTTGTCGAGCCGTTTTCGGTACGCTGCACGCCGTTACGCGTGTGGGTCAGGATGTTGCTCCAAAGTCTCGGCAAGTGGTGTTCAACACTCTTCGACGATGGAATCGGGTGGAATTCTTGATTACAGAGGCCTTCAACGAGGCTCAAGACAATGTTAAGTACCTGAACACTCTGGAGAAGTTTATGGAACCACTTTACACTGGTACTCCTGACATGATCTCGGACTCTCTACCAGCATTGCTTAACGCTATCAAGATGGTATATACCATTGCCCGATACTACAACACGACTGAAAGATTGACTAATTTGTTCACCAAGATGACCAACCAGATGATCATCAACTGCAAGGCCTATTTATTGGGCGATGAGCATCCGGACAAGCTGTGGGAGACGAAGCCTGTAGTATTGATAAAGAAGCTCCGGGCTTGTCTCAATCTCAACGAGGTATACCAAGAACAGTACCATTTCAATAGGAAGAAGCTCCTAGCGCTACCGAAGGGAAAGCAGTTTGACTTCTCGGAGACTCAGATTTTCGGAAGGTTTGACCTGTTCTGCCGCCGCGTGCTCAAGCTAGTGGATATGTTCTCGACCGTCCATCAATTCGAGTCACTGGCCGCGTGTCGGTTTGACGGTATGGAACAACTAGTGGTCAGCTCCCGCACCATTATGGAGGAGTTCCGGAACAAACGACATGACCTTCTAGATTTCCACAACAACCGGTTCGATCGCGATTATGTCGAATTCAACGTCCGGATTGCCGACCTAGAGAGCGCACTACAGCAGTTCATCAATCAGAGCTTCGAGAGCATCACTTCTATCGAGTCCAGTCTAAACTTGCTGAAGAGCTACCAATCGATTTTGCAGCGTGAGAGCCTCAAGGCCGATCTCGAGAGCAAGTACACTGTCATCTTTCACAATTACGGTGTAGAACTGACACAGATTCAAGATTCTTATGAGAAACTGAAAGCGTCACCGCCG